TCTCTTTTCTAAAGAGCAGAGACTGGCAAATAACTCAATTTTATATTTTCTCAAGTATCTTCCCAACTTTAAAGAGCTGTTGGAACTCAAAGTGTGTGTTTCTTGAATACTTATTATATTGGTATTCTAATTGTTAAGCATTTAAAAACATTATTTGGCTAGTAGTAATTTTTGTACTTGCCATCACCTATATAAAGTGCTTCTTATTTCTTAGTTATTGCTGAGTCCCCTGCATTTATCTTTTCCTTTGTGTTATCAAAATCACAGGTGTCAAAACCTTGGCGTATCATTCTTAGGATGTTTCACATTCCTGTTTAAGATTTCACTTACAGTTTAAACAGAAGGTTTTGTTGTTACTATTTTTGGTCTTGCTTGAGTCTATTCCCAGATTTACTTTCTTCTTTAGATGATTAAGAATTACAGAATGGGCCAGGCACAGGGACTTACACCTGTAATCCTACCACTTTAGGAAGCTGAGGTAGGCAAATTTAAGCAGGAGTTTGGGCTCCTGCTTGAGTCCAGGAGTTTGGTCAACATGTCAAAACCCCGTCTCTACAAAAAATACAAAAAAGTAGCCAAGCATGGTGGCGCACGCCTGTGGTCCCAGCTACTTGGGAGGTGGAGGTGGGAGGATCACCTGAGCCCGGGGAGGTTGAGGCTACAATGAGCCATGATATTGCCACTGCACTCTAGCCTGGACGATAGAATAATTGAGCTAGATTTTTTAGGTTTTACCTTATAGTGGAACATTTGGAGTCTGAGTAGCTTTTTTCTTTTATTAATTTAAATATTCTTGTGCTTATATTAATAATTTTCCAGGGCCGAGTGCGGTGGCTTACACCTGTAATCCCAGTGATTTGGGAGGCTGATGTGGGAGGATTGCTTGAGGCCAGGAGTTCAAGACCAGATTGGGCAATGTAGTAAAACCCCACCTCTACAAAAAATACAAAAATTAGTCAGGTGTGGTGGTGCATGCCTGTAGTTCCAGCTACTTGGGAGGCTCAGGTAGGAAGATTGCTTTAACCCAGGAGGTCAAGGCTGCAGTATGCTATGATCCTGCCACTGCGATCCATCCTGGAGGACAGTGAGAACATGTCTTAAAAATAATAATAATAATTTCCTCAGGAAATCCAGTTAATTCAGTAATATTTATAGGGTAGGACATTTTCCTAGATAATAAAAATTTATTTGGCCTCTATTAATTGGGAGCTATTTTTTAATATATGTTGAGATACTTTGCTCAAATTTTAGGAGGAATATTTAAACTACTTAAAAGTGTCTTCCAAGTACCTTTGTATTTGTTAAAGTACTCATTTATTATAAACAATATGTTGTAGATAATTACTAAAAGAGGTCATACTTGATTTGTCATTTTTTTCTTTCTCTTCTTTCTTTCTTTTTTTTTTTTTTTTAGATAGGGTCTCTCTCTGTTGCCCAGGCTGGAGTGCAGTGGCATGACAGTGGCTCACTGCAGCTTCAAAATTCCTGGGCTCAAGTGATGTTCCCACCTCAGCCTCCCAAATAGCTGGAACTACAGGCATGCAACACCACACCTGGCTAAGTTTTGTTGTTTGTGTTGGGGTTTTTTCTGTAGGGACAGGGTTTCCCTATATTACTTAGGCTGGTCTAAACTCCTGGGCTCAAGTGATCCTTCCACTTCAGCCTCCCAAAGTGCTGGGACTATAGACGTGAGACATCGCACCCAGCCAGTTATTTTTTTTTCATTGTAAAACTTAAAATTTAGAGATTCAGACAGACTGCCACAACTGTTAGTTCTATATTCTTAGCCAGCTATCTCATAACTTGTTTCTCCTTTGAAAAAATCTAAAAAGACTTACAAGTCTTTTTAGGTTATTAACAAAGCCTTATCAGGTTATTAACAAAACCCTTGGCACTTGCTTTTGAGGTGATGCTGGTGAAGGAAAGCAAAAGAAAAAAAAAGAAGCAAGCTTTTGGGAAGATCTCAAATGGTTAAAAAAAAATAATTAAGATCTGTGGATGGCTCCATAGTTTTAGTGTGAAGTAGGCACTTTTTAGTTTTAATAAACATCCAAAGTACTTTACTGGCTACAGTTCAGGAAATGAATATACTACTGACTGCTTGTAAATAAGTGAGTTGAAATATTTGTGTATTTGCTTCTAAAAAAAATCATCTAATGCAGAGATCAGCAAACTTTTCCTGTAAAGGATCAGATAGTAAATACTAATATTTTAGGCTTTGCATACCCTGCAGTCTCTGCTGCACAGATTCATCTCTGCATTATAGTGGAAAAGCAGCCAAAGACGGTACATTAACAAATGAGAGGGACTGTGTTCCAAAAGAAAGTTTATTTAGAAAAACAAACAGTCAACAGTAATTTGCCAGAGTTTCAATTTAAAAATATGTCATTTATGGGAACTCTGTGTACTTTCTGCCCGGTTTTTCTGTAAACCCTAAAACTGCTTTAAAAAAAATAGTCTTTTGAATTTTTTTTTTTTTTTTAATTGAAACAGGGTCTCACTGTGTCACCCAGGCTGGAGCGTAGTGGCACGATCTCTGCTCACTGAAGCCTCCGCCTCCTGGGTTCAAGCAATTCTCCTGCCTCAGTCTCCCAAGTAACTGGGACTACAGGTGTACGCCACCACACCTGGCCAATTTTTGTGTTTTTTTAGTAGAGTCGGTGTTTCACCAAGTTGGCCAGGCTGGTCTCGTACTCCTGACATCAAGTGATCTGCCCACCTCAGCCTCCTGGATTACAGGTGTGAGCCACCAGGCCTGACCTGAAATTATTTAAAAATGTCACAAACGGCCAGGCGCGGTGGCTCAAGCCTGTAATCCCAGCACTTTGGGAGGCCGAGACGGGCGGATCACGACGTCAGGAGATCGAGACTATCCTGCCTAACACGGTGAAACCCCGTCTCTACTAAAAAATACAAAAAAAAACCCGCCGGGCATGGTGATATGCACCTGTAGTCCCAGCTACTTCGGAGGCTGAGGCAGGAGAATGGCATGAACCCGGGAGGCGGAGCTTGCAGTGAGCTGAGATCGCCACTGCACCCCAGTCTGGGCAACAGAGCGAGACTCCATCTCAAAAAAAAAAAAGTCACAGACAATAAAAATAATTTAGAATGAAATGATGATCAAACCTCAAAGACATCTCTTGGTTTTTACTGAATAATAAATCTACTAGATGACTAATTATAACTATTGACTGTCATCTATGCTTACAGAGGGCTTCAGACCATTCTGTTTTATAGGGGTCTTTTTAAAAACTTATTTTACTTGTTGATTAAAACAAAATTGTGACATTATTACATTTGATAACATAAACACCTAGAGGACCTTTTTCAACATTTGGGAGAATTGTTGGAAGAATCGCTGATTTAAAGGATTTCCTTAGTTGAACACAAAATAATTGCTGAAGAATTTTTAACAATGTTACTATTCTTCTATCATTGATACAGTAATTACTTTGAGTGTCCATCCTACAGTATTTATTTTTTCTCCTAGTCTATAAATATACCCTGGAGTGTGCTTGTGACTGTCAGTTAAAGTATTTGCAGTCATTGACTGTAATATCTATGTAATTCATTTGACAATGCATTTGAAAAATTAATTTAGACTAATGTGTTGTTGCAGCTGAATTAATTTTAATGGATTTTCTGGGGTTTTTAGTTTAAATATCACTATAATGTATCTATTTACTTTTAAACTTTTTATTGTGAAATGTAACACATAGAAACATACATAAAATAGATGTCCAGTTTAATAAATTATTATAAAGCAAACATCAGTGGAACTACCATTGCAGGTCAAGAAGGTCAAAGAATAGAGCGTTGTCAGCATGTCAGAATCCCCTTGAAAGCCCCTTTCCAACTATAACTCCTTCCGTTACCACTAGGGATAACCATAATCTTGATTTTTTTTTTTTATAGCATCCTTTTCTTTACTTACTAATTTATATTTTATTGAGATAGAGTTTCACTCTTGTCACCCAGGCTGGAGTGCAGTGGCACAATCTTGGCTCACTGCAACCTCCGCCTCCTGGGTCCAAGTGATTCTCCTGCCTCAGCCTCCCAAGTAGCTGGGATTATAAGCATGCGCCACCATGCCCAGCTAATTTTTGTAGTTTTAGTAGAGAGATAGTTTCACCATGTTGGCTAGGCTGATCTCGAACTCTCAACCTCAAGTGATCTGCTTGCCTCAGCCTCCCAAAGTGCTGGGATTACAGGCGTGAGCTACTATACCCAGCCTATTTCTTTACTTTTTTTTTTCTTTTCATTCTGTTGCCCAGACGGGAGGTTTCACCATGTTGGCCAGGCTGGCCTCTAACTACTGACCCCAAGTGATCTGCCCATCTTCGCCTCTGAAAGTGTTGGGATTACAGGCGTGAGCCACTGTGCCCAGCCCATTTCTGTAATTCTTAATAGTTTTATCTCCTATGTGTGCAGCTCTAAACAATATAGTTAAATTTTGCCTGTTTTTAAGCTTTGCATTACTTTTAATAGCAAAAACCACAGTTACTTTTGTATCAACCTAATAAATAGAATAATATGGTAAAGACTGGTTATAGGCCAGGCGCGGTGGCTCATGCCTGTAATCCCAGCACTTTGGGAGGCTGAGGCGGGTGGATTACGAGGTCAGGAGATCCAGACCATCCTGGCTAACACGTAGAGCCCCGTTTCTACTAAAAATACAAAAAAATTAGCCGGGCGTGGTGGCGGGCGCCTGTATTCCCAGCTACTCGGAGGCTGAGGCAGGAGAATGGTGTGAACGCGAGAGGCGGAGCTTGCAGTGAGCCAAGATTGCGCCACTGCACTCCAGCTGGGCAACAGAGAGAGACTCTGTCTCAAAAAAAAAAAAAAAAAGACTGGCTATAAAGATTCTAATATATGTGAATGCTAATGTATAAGTATAGTAGATCCATAATATAGACATAAGTATTTGTGTTTCTGACTGCAAGAAACACTTTAGTCACCTAAAACATTTAATTTTATAGAAATAATATTTTGTTTTTCAGGTGAAACTTCCACCGATGATGGAAATCATAACTGCTGAGCAGCTGATGGAATATTTAGGTTAGTGTTGAAAAGTGGATTTTATATCTCTTTCAAAACAAACGTTTTCAAAGCTAGTTTATTACCCAGTCTCACCTTTCTGAAGTGCTATTATATAATCTATTTTAAAATTACAATTTTGAATCTGCTAATTAAAAATTTTTATCAGTATGTTACTGTTCTTAGATGGTATAGTCTTCTTTCTGACCAGCATTGAAATTCTGTAATACACATAAGGAATCTAGGTAACGTCTAGAAAACAAGATACATCTTAATCCCAATAAATTGTAGAATGGGAGATGGCACAGAATCGCTGACATTGCATGTGGAAAGTGTTCAAAAATATTGGGTAGACTTGAATTAAAGACAAAAGAGGTGATTTAGAGCAGTGCTACTGAAAGTGTGTGATTCATGGACCTATGCCAGTCTACAAAATGTTAGTTATCAGTCTGCAGTGAGTTAGAATCTTCTCCTAGGATGTAAAATACTTACATTAGTAAGCACACTGTTCATTTCAACTGAAATTTTTTATAGGAAAATTTTCTTGTTGAAGGAAGTAATGTATTGAATTGCATTCTTCTCTAAGCTGCTTATTTCTTTTTTTTTTTTTTTTTGAGACAGTCTCGCTCCGTCGCCCAGGCTGGAGTTCAGTGGCGCGATCTTGGCTCACTGCAAGCTCCGCCTCCCGGGTTCACGCCATTCTCCTGCCTCAGCCTCCTAAGTAGCTGGGACTACAGGCGCCCGCCACCGCGCCCGGCTAAATTTTTGTATTTTTAGTAGAGACGGGGTTTCACCGTGGTCTCGATCTCCTGA